AAACAGAATCCCGCCATCACTGTCTTCAGTGCAGGAGCGAATTGTCAATTCTACCAATGAAGTAAGAGGAGAGAATAGCTGAAGCTGATCGTTCAAGCTTCCTGCGAGCGGTCCTATTCTTAACACTTTCAGACTTTCACGAAATGGCTCAAAAGCTCCCATAGCAATCTCAATATTGTCATCGTTCTCCGTGATTTCAAGAAGATGAAGTCTTCCAGCAAGTGAGTAGAACGAGTGGCGCAGGATGTAACCAATCCTGTTTCGGTTGATGTATAGGTCAACACCGGGACTTGCTTGTTCGGTGCTTGGCTCTGAGTGAAAAGGCAAGGAAGTGAAATTTTTCCCGTTACAGTCGATTACTTCCGACTTGTTGCTAACTCTGCAAGTACACACACTTGGACACACGCTTTCGGCGTAGATTGAGGTAATGTGGATCATAATGCAGGCTTTAAGACATAGCGACGATACATGGTATGTAAATATTATTGGCTGCTTTAATCGCATTTTTAGGTTAATGCATTTATCAATTTTGCTTTAGTCGCATTGTTAGAAAAATGTAAGTAAAATTAATTCGCAGTTATATAGATTTAGCCTGCACTCGTCTAGTTCACAAACCAAACTGTTACCTGACTTGATGATCGTGGCAACTCACTATAAGGTATTCATGTTAAATACAAATATGTATTGATTTATCTCTCTTCCCTGTACTTCTGCCAGTGCTAATCAATAGTTGCGATGTTTTTTAACTTGCTGTTTTCGCTGGAACAGTATTATATGGTATACATATGGCAGCAAGTAGCAGCACACTGTCTACGCAAAGTAAGTTCCATCACCTTTGTATTATTGTAATAATCGTGATGTTCTACGGAACAATTGACAATGCTAACTACAAGTCTGTTCGTGCGTAAACACGTTCTTCAGTTTGATGCGCAATCCTGTGCAATAAAGTGACATCCTGTATTTCCTTATTGCGGATACCTATTGTGGTGGAAGGGAAAGGGCAATAAAAGACCCACTACCTCCCCCAATAAGCATGTCGTAAGACTCGACTAACTAGAGTGCATCTGCTTGAGAGGCAAAGACCCAAGAATCTGCATACTGATAAGTCAGATATGTAAAACTAGTATGCACGCATAACTCAGGTTCTTGGACAAGATGAAGGTCCAGAAGTAGACAAACAACCAGAACTTTCCGCCTGAGTTACAGCCTCATTGGAGACCAAAACGCCTGGCACGTACCAGCCACAGGCTACCACAGAGCGCCGCCTACAGTACAGTTTGTTTTCGCATCGCATCTCGTCACTTCACCCGATTTTCCCAGGTGGAACTATAACAGACCTATAGTTAACAGATGTGTTAACTGATTCAGTTGAGTTGAGTTGAGTCAAGAATTTACATCACAGCACTCAGGGCATTCCCATGCGTGCTATTTCTTCATCTTCCGCGGCGAGCGCAGAGTTCCAATATTGGTTGTACCGGTCACATTATATGTCCATCTTGCCTTTCCTCTGAGTGTAGTGAGCCGGTCATACCCTCTGGTTACACCCAGGTGCCTCATTCTCTCCAGGCCATAATAATCTTCTTTCTCTACTAATTCCGTTGCTTGTTCCCATAGGGCCTTGACCACATCTGCCTTGCCATGTATCAATTCACCATCCAGTGGTGCAGATCCAGCTAATATGTCTGTCTGTTCATTACCCACTACGCCGGCATGGCCTGGAGAAAAGATCCAAAGTATGCTCACCACCTATGACCTTCCCCGTGAAGCTTGCGACTCTGCTCGAAGCATCCCTGTCTTAACCTTTCTCAGCATGCTTTCAGAGTGTTACAATTACAACATTTGTATGCATCTTGTTCTCTAGCCACCGGAGAGCTGCAGTTACCACCTCTACCTCCATTCTCATGCTAGATGTTGTGATGTCGTATGCTAGGCTGTCTTGCACTAAAGATCTTCCATTGGCTTTCGCTACGAAACCCCAGGCATTTCTCTTCCCTCTCAACACCGAACCATCTGTATAGATAATTAGATCACCTGGGCGTGAATTGTTGTGAATTAACAGTTTTATGATTCTCAAGTAATAAGGTCTGGTCAACGCAGTGTGCATCCCACTGTTCATGTGGTTTTCGGACAATAGTACGAGAGTCATACTCGTGAAAAGATTGGTCTTCACCACGCAGTAAGTTGACTGTAACCAACCTTAACCGTGGAGACGGTTTATACATATTATCTTCAATATTATGTTCACTAGTGATTATGGATTTGTAAGGATTCTTACATCACGCCGGACAGCTATACGGACGCTGAAATCTTTTCCTCAGAAGCTGCATTAAAAAACGACCGGTGATGCCTGTTCTGTGTTGATTAATGAAACGTGTTGTCCCTTAGTGAAATGTTCATTTCTTGCAGCTCTAGGCTTCACCCCCATGTCCATCAGTCTAGACAGGGATACGAAGTCATGTCCTTTTGCGTGCTCGTTCACGTGGTAAATCCTGGGCATGGCTCTTCTGTCCAATACGGAACCAGCCATAGCAACCGCATTGTCGGCAAGACAATCTGCACCCTCGTTACCTTGAACACCTGGATAACCTGGCACAAAGATTAGGGTTAGGGCAGCTATTCGCGAAGTGCTTAGTGTTGAATTGTGTCCACTATTGTGGTGTAAAAGTCAAGCAAATATAGTTACCGTTCCTTTTTTTTTTACGCCAAGGAAGCATCGAACATAGGATATTGAGCTCACTTTTACAGACCAATCAACACTTGGTGAGTCATGTTATCAGCGTCACGCCGGCTGCCTTCACTTTCCAGGACTTTACCCGGAATCCATTTTAGGCTGGGTGTGACGTTGCTGCTACACACATCTACTTGGACGTTGGTACATTGCTACTTGCTCTGCTTCTAATATCTAGGGGTAACAACACAAAACGGCTCTTAGTGTCCTTTATACATTCTATCAGTTTATTTCGACAGTTATTCAGACACAGTCATCACTGCCCGTTTCAATAATATTACAACACTAATCAACTCCTTGTATTCCGGGTTCACTCCGGGTAGGCATAAAAGCCACATTTCTCCCAGATTTACGGTATGTACAATGGAATCAAGACCGAAAGGTTGGATATCCATAAAACTGAGCCTAAGGGTTAACAACTCATGGCTTCTGGATACTAAAACAAACAAACAAACAACACTAATCATTCACTCCACATTGAAACTAAATTTTCAAATACGACAACTGACTTCCTTGACTTCTGGTGCGCAACTGACCACGAGTCAACCTAGGGCTTTCCTTCGTTTACCTTTCCAGCCCTAAGTATCTCGTGCGGTCATTTGTCGCAAGGATTTTCTGCGCGACTTGCTATGAGCATGGAGACGATGCTAGCAGGGTCATCACACCGGGTCCAACTGGGAGCTAATGTCATTTTTTAAGAGAAAACTCTCCATCGATCCGGGCTGCTATCAGCAAGTTTACTTGATCCTTGACTCTTTCACTCTCAAACAAGCATCGTGTATGAAGGACTCTTCCCCATGAAACCCAGCCATAGTGAAGTAAGTTCGTATATATTTTATATTTGGTCTGAGTATACTAAAGAAACTTGGCTTCCCTTAGTGCTCACTTCTACAAGTTAAATATTGTGAGGGCCCTTTGGGAGCGAGTGAACAGTGGGGAGATAGATCATTACGTCTAAGGAGGATGACGCTGCGAAGAGTTACCAGGGGATCTGGCCGACGATCAACACTCAAGGGAAGGATGAGAAGGATATACAATCAGATGGTTACTGGTACCATCGGAATTGGAATTTTTCGCTTGCTGCTGAAGATGAGGACTGAGCACTTATGGGAGTGTCCCGAGTGCTGTGATCTCGATTCTTAATTCAACATTCAATATTCACTTCTACTGTGTATTTAGTTTGTTTGAAAGTTCTATAATGATGAAATTAGGTAGTGAAGAGTTCTCCTTATAGGTGTCTGCTGCAAAACCTACTGGGGCTGAAAGATTCTTGGCTATCGAGACTGTGATGTTCCTGTATTTCTACGTTCGTTGGCTGTGTCCTTCTCCTCCCCCACCCCACCCCCTCCCCGACCCCCCGGCAAGTGAGACAAAAAGCGGTTATGAGGAGCGTAGAAATAGAAAATTGTCGCTGTTTCCATACTCCCAAAACGTCGCGCAGGTAGCAGAACGTGAAAATATTCACGCAAGCGAAAAGAGAAAAGAGGCAATGGTTAAACTGTTCACTATAAGGAAAACATGACTCTCTGCATGACTTCCCTTGATGGGAGAGGATATGTAATCCTAGATTAGAGATGATATGTAATCCTTGATGGGAAATGCTATGTAATCCTAGATTAGAGATGATATGTAATCCTTGATGGGAGATGATCTGTAATCCTTGATGGGAGATGATATGTAATCCTTGACGGGAGATGATACAAGTTTCTTCCTATTTTGCATGTTACTTTAAGAAGACTGTAGTCAGGTTTGTTCTGATTTACAAATAGGCTGCGATATATGTGTCTTTCTCCCAATTCATCGGACAGGCGCCGCGAGAAGCTCTAAAACAAACGTTGATGACAGGGGTCAAAAGTGAAAAGTGTTGGAATGGATTCCGTCAATGAATTATTAAAAGGTTGCAGGAGGTAAGATAAGGTGAGGTAAGTTGTACCCCCACCAGGACATCACGCAAGCGATAAACACCCGGTGACACAAAGTGCCACCATGCGGATGAGGATCACCCGTGGAGAGGTCCTGGAGACCCCTTTCAGTCGTTAGGCCATATTTAAATCCATCTATATTTAGGGCCCCGAGCACAATCCAGGTTGGGGCTTCAAAATAACAAAACAATTGTATCCCAGAGGGGGACGACTCTTATCAGATAACACAAACAGGTTGCAGGATATAACGGGCTGTAGGAATAGACTCTGAGTCCTATGTAACATATAATGGCACAATAGAATAATACTCATTATGTTGATGACGATGATAACAAATGAGTGAATGAACTTTAATATGGGTGATCGCTATCTTGAAGTTCTATATCCTCTGAAACATTGGCCAAACCAGAACGATGAAGTAAGGACGAAATGCCGGCAAGGGCCAGTATAACTCCAGCGATAATCGTCACAGTAAAGGCGTAGCCAAGAGTTACAGGACTTTCAAGGGCCATCTCTGCGTCAGTTTTTCCTTGGGCTGCAAAGATGATTACTCCTGTGGCTTGCAACACAACTGTGGAGAATATGTGATGGCTGTTTCAGTAGAAAAGTTGCTTTTAAAACGTGATTTTTTAAGTAACTTTTATTTTAAATACAGAAGACAAACAATAGATTGCATTATTTATTGCCTGACCTATTTCGCTGTATCTTAGCAGGTGCCCATCATCATCTGTCTTTGTCTGCCTCTACCCCTTTTTTCACTGATTGCATAGATAGTGTATTTTATATTGCATGCATATTGTATTTTATATTGCATGGATAGTGTATTTTATATTGCATGAATAATGCATTTTATATTGCATGGATAATGCATTTGATCTTGAATGGATAATGTATATTATATTGCAAGGATAATTCTGTTATATTGCATAGATAATTTATTTTATATTGCATGGATAAAATATTTTATATTGCATGGATAGTGTATTTGATATTGCATAAATAGTGAATTTTATATTGCATGGATAGTGTATTTTATATTGCATGGATAATGTATATTATATTGTACAGATAGTGTATTTTATTTTGCATGGATAGTGTATTTTATATTGCATGGATAGTGTCATTTATGTTGCGTGAATAATATATTTTATATTGCATAGAAAAATATTTTATATTGCATGGATCTTCTTCTTCTTCACTTCCTCTTTTACCGCTGTGGGTGTCGAGGGAGATATAAGGTTCTGTTTCTAGCTCTTCTGGCTGCCTCGACCATAGGCACATCGTGCTGTTGTAGAGTTTCTCTGATGTTATCCTTCCATCTTGTTCTTGGTCTACCCCGTGCTCTACGTCCTTCTTCTCTTCGTCCTTCTTCTCTTCCTATGTATGCTTATTGCATGGACAATGTATTTTAAATTTCATGGATAGTGTATTGCATGGATAATGTGTAAAGGTGAAATATTTCGGCCACTATTTTAAAAAGAATATCTCTTACTAAAAACTACACTAAACAGGAAATTGATGGCAAAAGAGCAAGATGTAGGGAGATACATCAAGAGATGGACACCAGTAACAGAGAGTGCACAGTCAGGACTTCAGATAGTGTGTTGAAAATCCATTCCAGCCAACTTTCGTTGTGAAGACGGCATGCTCACTGGTTTAAGCAGGTACTCCTTGCCTGGTTACCAGGTGTCACTTGTCCGTACGACATCCTCACACATCGGTCCAACCCATTCGTGCTCAGTCTTCCAAAGCAACAGCCCTCTCTGTTTCTCCATGCTCAACGTACCCGAAAGAAGTTGATTGGCATATCTTCGCTCTTTGCCCGGCAACAGGTTTCTACATGCTTGTTCTCGTTTAATACTTATTTCTGACTCCCGTGTCTCTAACGACTCAAGAACGAAGAGCATTCAGTATGTCTGCCATGTCCACATTTCTTCCTCCAGTGTACTTTATTTGATCGGTAGTCGTATTAAAAATTAGAGAGATAGAAGGACACACAAGACAACATAGAAAGCGAAACCTATAGTTAAAATTTATGCAGTCCCAAAAAGACAACAGCTGCTTGCTGCAGCAACAAGTGCACTTCGATTCATGACCGATTTGACAACCCTAGTGACTTTATTTCCCATGTCCATCATACACCTAAATAAACAATTATGGAATATAGACAGAATTCGTATTCAGCCTTTCAATTAGCGCCGTAGATTACATACATGTATATTACCAAGTATAGATTAAGTAAGGTAGCTACGGCTTTTTTATGCTGATGTTCACAATTTCTAGTGGGTCGGTGAATGGTCGTAGAATTCTTCCAAAAAGAGGAACCAGATGTCTTGTAAGAGTCGAGGACTTGAAGACAGTTTATCACAAACATCAGAAAGGGGCAGTCATCCTTTTTTTTTTTTTTTAGAATTTGTATTTTGATCAAATGTTGAGATTGTGTGAACTAAAATGAAAGTACGCATGCTAGTTTGCTAGGCTAGTTAAGGGAAAGAGGCGTTGTACACCTTATGTAGATATAATGTACACGCCACCTCGGTACGGTGCTAAACAAAACTTACCTGCAATAAAATAGAGAACAGCAGCAATCATAGGTAGTGATCTGTGAATGACGTCATGGCGGAAAAACCTGATGTAGTACACAAGCAAGTCGATGACTCCAGCCACTGCGTAGAAAAAAGCGATCACTACAAACACCTTGGACGCCACGATTGCCCCTGTAATCAATGAATTGGTGATTGGTGATTAGTGAGGATTATCATCACAGCAATCCGGACAGATCCATAGGTGCTCCAATCTCTTGGTCAAAAGCTACACAAGTATAAAACGACTGATGACGCCTGTTCTGTGTTGATTAATGAACGTCTTGTTCCCTTAGTCCTCTTCTTCTTTTTTTTTTTCTTCGATCCTTCTGTCAGAAAACTTATATCAACAGGCCAGTAGTATTTATGAAAGATTTCGTGCAGTCCATATCCTCTCGTGTACCATTCAGCTTTGTCTTCATTGTGGTTGGAACAGGCCAGATTGCGACTCTGTTGCCAACATACAGTTGACAGTGTTGGAGCACATGCTTAGCATTTTTGGGTGCCACGCTGCATTGACAAGTCTCGGTGTTTCCTACACCGAAAAATGTTAACATATGTTGACAAAGTCTGTTGTACCCAGTCCAGGCTGCAACTCACATATCCACCAGCCTAGACAGAGATACAGAGTCATACCCTTTGGCGTAATCGTCGTCGTATTGGTTACTCCTGCGCATGGCATTGATAATATCGCTTCTGTCCAGTACAGAACCTGCCACAGAAACCCCAGGGTCTACAAGATAATCTTGAACAAGCCCACGACGTGGCACAAAGATAAAGGTTGGGCCGCCATTCGCGTAGTGCTTTGTGTTGAAATCCATTCATGTCTGATAAAAACAGCGTGGATTCTTTTCTTTTTTTTAAACATACTTATCGAGTCTCTAAGTATGCACTCGTGTGGGAACTCTTGAGTATCAAGTCATGCTAGTACATTTCGCTTGCCCACAATGACTGATCTGTCTGTGTGAAATATATCACCACCTTCATTTGTATTTGGATATCTATTACAACCTAATTAAAAGTACGCCTGTTTTTGTCTCCTGCTGGTAAACAAAAATCGCCTATACCATCTGTTAACTCCGAGCTAAATTATTCTCTCCAGATAGGGATACTCTGCACTGTCTACTTGATCCAGAGAGCCTTCATCCAGCCTAATTTATCACAGCGTAGCTCATCGTCCGGAGGGACCGCAGCAGCTAATATATCAGCTTTCTCATTACCACGTACACCCGAATGTCCTGGACAAAAAATCCACATTTTGCTTCTTAGTGGAGTCTTCTCATGCTATGCAAGCCACTCTGAGCGTAAGACACTAGTTTCTATTTTTCCAAAGCATGGTCTACAAGTCAGTTATAATGCTCCCGTAATAGCTTATTTACAGATAGGTATGATCGTCGTTACTTGAGGGAGTACACGCCCTGAGCAACACAGTTCCAGAAAGTAAAAAATAAAAAAAAAATGATGGGGATGGCTCGGCGGTGTGCAAAGTAAATTTGTAAGGATATTTAAGCTGGTGTCGGCTCTGTGGCTAAGTCGATGCGAACGCTTCGTAATGCCGAGGTGCCGGGTTCGATCCCAGCACAAACATTACATGCGTTGCCTATCGGCACACCAGCAGAATGTTATTGACCTCATCACCGCCCCCTACACACACACATACACACACACACATACACACACATCCCGCCTACCCAGTCAATATTGGTGTATGAAGAACCTAAACGCAAAGTAGTCTGCTGTAGAATCGCATGTAACTGAATCGAACCAGGTTTCTTGGAATTATGATACTTGTTGGAAACATCTAAGCTACAAAGACCACTATGTATGTAAAGTTAACTCACACTAGTGGCATCTGTGCTAACTGCTGAAGATGGGGATGGGGCGCTCATGAGAATATCCCCAGTGTTGTAATGTTGGTTTTTAACTAAGTTAAAAAAAAGTTAATAAAAATAAACGTTGCTCATCAGTTACAGGAAGTTGTAAATTAACCTCAGCATTTTTTGTGTGCTGTTAAGTGCTTTACATTTACAATTTTACGTCGAGTAGTTTGCAATTGCCTTCAAACCAGGTGTTTCCAACCGGCGTTCTAGCAGCATCCTATGGGACCCGCGTACACATTCCAGGCGCTTCGCCATCGCTATGGTAAAATAAATCACAATTGAATGAAACGAAAGATTAAGACACGTCGAATCAGCGAAATGGCTAGGGGTGTGAAAGAGACACTTTATCAGTTGCATTAGGATTATTAAATTCGTGCTATAAATAGGTAAATCGACTGACATCGTCAAGTTGGCGATTTTAATTCTATTTGTTCAATATATTAACCGGACAAAGCAGCCCGGCTCTCTAGCGTAGTTGGCTAAACCGGATTGCGCGGCGACCGGGTGACGAACTCCATGTGATCCGGGTTCACTCCCGCCGGTAGGCAGAAAAGCCACACTTCTCCCAGATTTACGGTATTTTCAATGGAATTAAGGCCGAAAGGTTGCGGTATCCATAATACCGAGCCTAAGGGTTAACAACTCATGGCTTCTGGATACTAAAACAAACAACAAACAACAACCGGACAAAGCTATCATGAGAACCTTTTTCTTTAGAAACCAGCAAGCACATCAGAGGTGAAATATGTAAATCTTTTTAATGAATTCTTGTCATCAAACTATCAGAGATGCATGCCCTGATGGTGCAAAGACACTGATGAATCGCAATGCTGGAGCCAATGCTAAAAAAAAAAAGACAAAAAAATTGTGTGTACCCATTCTGGGGCTTTCACACAGACACGCCTTCGCCTCAAGGAAAAAAATAATCTTAGTCCGTTTATCATAATATCGAATGATGGCGTATCGTAATAAACTATTTTAAAATTATGATTTTTTAAATGATGCCCCTTTAAACTAATGTGTAAAGATATGGTAAGCCACCATCATTCTGTCCAAATTCACAGTAAAGTAAGGTAATTGTTTCGAAGAAAAGAGTTGACACGTTTGAAGAAACTGCGTGTAGAGGTGGTAGAATAGTTTATGGAGCATAACGCTCTTTTAGCGACGGTTATTCAAACATATAGCAAAATTAACGCAAATATTTTATCACTACGTTGAAAAACTCAAATGAAAAACTACCAGTTTTTCATGCAGTGTCTTCTTTTAAGATGAAACGTGTGTATTGGTTGAAGAGCGTGGGAATGGAAAATATCGATTTTTCCCTCTCAAAACAAGATTTTGTAATGAAAATAATATCAAGGTTCAAGAAGAACAACAAAGACATAGATGCAGGTGCATCAGCTTTGAAAAATTCATGTGAACATCGTTTTCCAGCAGCTCAAAAGACGGTCTTTAACAAATTCTCGTAATTCCAACATACCGCGATCGAAACCCACTGCAGGCTGCGTGGATTTTTATCATGGTATGGGGCGTCGCAGGACGACCCGGCCTTAAATGAGTACGTACCAGGATGGCTGTCCTGGGGATATAGAGACGGCCGGCGTAATGCTGAACACATTACCCACCTAGCGCCCATGGTCTGAAAAATATGGGCGCTCTTCCCATATACTTGATGCGCCTAAAGTCGTGAAAAGGGATCTTTACTTGTTATGAACTTAACCTGACAAGGAAAACTGAAAAACAGAGTAACGAAAGGTGTCTCATTTAAACGTGTATTCGTTATTTCAAGGTCTTTATTACTGCTCTCAGCAACAGCGTAAAATCCATTGAATGTCAATTTATTTACTGAACTTTGGAGGAATTTTTATGAATGACCAATATTTGACAAATCATGTGTATGGGTGGTAGTTGTGAGTAAACTGACCATTTTGGTAAATTTCGAAGCATTAGAGAAAATTTTAATATGACCTCATTACAAAGGCTCTCCGCCAAAGAAATGGATTTGAAAAAAAAAAGAGGTGCGGGGTAGGGGTATAGGGAGGTGGCGGGGCCTCTAAGAGTCAAAACAGTTAAGAACCGACAGTTAAGAACAGAAGCTGTAAATAATTGGCAACTCATACCATTGCCGGAATCAAAGCGATATGTTGCCAAATCGTCTTTAGGTGAATTGACTCTGGTACTTCGGAATTCGTTTGTGGCTTAGGCGTTGCGATCGTGTTTCGTATTGTCGGGGTTCTGGGTTCGATTCCAGCTGCGGACGATTTGTCTTGCGTTGGTTTCGACAGTGGTACCAAGAGCAGACCGTTCAGTTTTGCCTAACAAAATCTCAACAGCCAAAAAAAAAAAATGCTGGGGTTGGCTCTGCAACGTCCTGTAAAAGGATACACAACTAACTTTAACTTTGGAATTATGAAGCATGCTCGCAAGTCTCGAAAAGTCAAAGCAACAGAGCTTGTGGTATATTAGGGATTGCTTTACGGGATTGTGGGGGTGGGGTGGGGGGGGGCGTGTGGTCTCGGGGCATGGTGTCTGCCTCGAGTGCTAGAGGTTCCGTGTTCAATCTCCGGTAAGGGCTGGGAATTCTTTTAAGTGGATTTGACTTCTATTTATCCCCCCTCTTGTCTGTGCAGTTAGATCGGACGCTCGTGTGTATTGTTGCGCACGTAAAAAATCCAGTGGCTGTTGGAAATCGAAAAGAGTAGCCTAAAGTCTAATTTGGAGTTAAAAATCTTCCCAAGGTATTTTCGGATCCTCTCAGGTCCTACAGAGGCTGTGCACTGTGCTGAGCTTCTTCGGACTCGGACTTGAGTTAGAAGAAGAACGGAGCACTTATATGTTACTACCCGTGTGCCATAAAGTTGATCCGTATTTAAAAACCGCAAACCTTACCTTCTGCGGCAAACGCCTCGCAAGTCCCATTGCAGGCAAGAAGGAGACCCGCTCTAATGCCGTGCTCCGTGTACACCCATTCTGGGGCTACAGCACCCAGCAGTGATGTGAGGCATCCTAGAACACCCTGAGCAATGGCAGCATAGACGAGCAATCTTACTGCCTTCGGTTTTTTCAGCATGTTCTGTAAACAGTTGGATGGTAGATTAGTGTGTTCTGTTAACATTTCTCTACATCAGCATGTTCTGTAAACAGTTGGATGGTAGATTAGTGTGTTCTGTTAACATTTCTCTACATCAGCATGTTCTGTAAACAGTTGGATGGTAGATTAGTGTGTTCTGTTAACATTTCTCTACATCAGCATGTTCTGTAAACAGTTGGATGGTAGATTAGTGTGTTCTGTTAACATTTCTCTACATCAGCATGTTCTGTAAACAGTTGGATGGTAGATTAGTGTGTTCTGTTAACATTTCTCTACATCAGCATATTCTGTAAACAGTTGGATGGTAGATTAGTGTGTTCTGTTAACATTTCTCTACATCAGCATATTCTGTAAACAGTTGAAGGTAGATTAGTGTGTTCTGTTAACATTTCTCTACATCAGCATGTTCTGTAAACAGTTGGATGGTAGATTAGTGTGTTCTGTTAACATTTCTCTACATCAGCATATTCTGTAAACAGTTGGATGGTAGATTAGTGTGTTCTGTTAACATTTCTCTACATCAGCATATTCTGTAAACAGTTGGATGGTAGATTAGTGTGTTCTGTTAACATTTCTCTACATCAGCATATTCTGTAAACAGTTGGATGGTAGATTAGTGTGTTCTGTTAACATTTCTCTACATCAGCATATTCTGTAAACAGTTGGATGGTAGATTAGTGTGTTCTGTTAACATTTCTCTACATCAGCATGATCTGTAAACAGTTGGATGGTAGATTAGTGTGTTCTGTTAACATTGCCCTTCATCAGCATGTTCTGTAAACAGTTGGATGATAGATTAGTGTGTTCTGTTAACATTACTTTTCATAAGCATGTTCTGTTAACAGTTGAAAGATATGTGTTCTGTTAACATTTCTCTACATCAGGATGTTCTTTAAGCACTCGAAAGAAGTTCCAACTTCATCAGGCTCGGTCAGTAAGGGGTTGGTTCATCAATGACCAGTCCATTCTTTAAACAATATACATTGATTCTCTGATTAAATAATTGTCTAGGTAACGATCATATCCCCCTCCCCTCCACCTCTTCCAGACCTTGTTAACGAGAAAGCCGAGGTAATGTAGCGGCTAGACACTCGCCCGCAGATCCGAAGGTAGTGCGTTCAGGTCCTGACGGAGCAAATTTTTTTTTTTTAAACAACCTTGGCTTCCTGATCGACCTGCCTTAAATTGATACCAGACAGTATCATGGACAGCAGTATTGCCACTTTTCTTTGACAAAAAAAAAAAAACAGCCAAAACGGAGTCAACAAATATCTAAAAACATCTAAATTTGCGTGGAAAACATCTAGAAAAAATATCCACATGTAAAGAGTCACAAATTACATAGCAATTTATATGACTTACCCTATAGAATCATGTCCTCATCGTTACTAAAGTCTGCCTTATAAGATCCACAGGATAAACTTAGCTTGGATGATGAAGTTGAAGCTTCAGATCGAAAATGACTCTGGTATGCTTAAGCTGTTCCAATTTCTTTTAATACCTAATCAGGGAGCTGATAAGTGGAACAGCCTTTTCTTGCTCTTATCAGACAAAATTTTATTGTCAAGATAGCATTTAAGAGGTCAAATTTCATCCTGTTTCTTAGGTAAGGTTGGATAAATTCACTCGAAATGGAAACTTCTAGAAAAACATATACCATCTAAACGTCAAAAACGCCATCTAAATGCAAGGGAAAACATCTAAATCTGGGTGTAAAACATCCAAAGTGGCAACACTGCTGGACAGTAAGAGCGGTCAGTGTGATGTTGACCACATCACTCACTGAGTGTCGATTGGTCTATAAAATGTGTCTAGCCCTCAATGTCCAATCGGCTTGAAAAAGGGTCCTAAACTGTTACTTCACACTACATGTCGCTGGGTCACCAGTTTCTGTTGACTGTCTGATCATCTCTCTCCCCCTTTGGTGGTCAGTTGCGATGGACTTCATGGTTGCATGCCTGAGGTCTGTCCAGTCAGTCAGGTTCTGTAACCAGGTCTTTCTTGGTCTGCCTCTTCTCCTCTTTCCCTCTACTGAGAGGCCGTTAGATCTTTTTAAATGTCCACACCATTGTATTTTTCACCTTTTCACTGTAGTTAAAAAAAGATTCATAGTTGCCAATATGCACCTCTTCGTTTGTAATGTGGTCTCTGTATTATATACACAAAAATTTTTCTGAAACATCGCATTTCTAATGCTTGTATTTTTCTTTCAAGTTCAGCTGTTAATGTCCACGTTTCACAGCCATGTGTAAATATACTAATAGCTAGTGCTCTAAACAACCGAATCTTAGTTTTACATGAAATGTTTTTGGTTCTCCATAATGTCTGCTGCTTGACAAGCACTGATGTTGTCTTGACAATCCTAGACATGATTTCTGGTCTTGACCCCAAGTCACTCAAAATGGATCCTAAATATTTTAAATGAGTCGCTTGTTTTATTTTGTGACTTTTAATGTAGATTAGTGAAATTTTGCCAGCTGGATTATTAGTCATTATTTTTGCTTTTGTTTTTCTGTGTTTATTTCCATGCCATACTTGGTTGATGTTTCATCGAGCAGATTTACAAGCTAGACTAGCTCTTGTTCTTCTTCGGCCAACCCATTGATGTCATCTGCAAACATTAAGTTTGTTTTAGTTCGACCTTCTATACTAACTGTTCCATGATGTTGTTCTAGGACGTCAGTCATAATTCTTTTTAAAAAGATGTTAAACAGTGTGGGAGAGAGGAATGAGCCCTGCCGGACTCCTACAGTTGTTCGGAACCAGCTTCCTATTTGTCCGTTCAGCGTGACAGCACTGCTGGCCTTTGTATAGAGCTGTTTGTTCTATAGTACGTATGAGGGTTTTACACACATTGTACTTTTTCATAGTGTCCCATAGTGCTGCATGCCATATTCTGCCAAAGGCCTTTTTGAAATCAATGAACACATGGTATAGATGTTTTTGTTGCTGATGGTATTGCTCAGATAATATGCGTAGATTAAATATTTGTTCAGAGGTGCCTCTTCCAGCACGGAAACCCGCCTGTTCCTCTGCTATGATCTTTTCTGCATGTTTACAAGGCTTTACTGGGATGACTGATGAGACCTAAAGTCCTATAATTTTGACTTTGTTGTAAATTCCCCCTTTTTTGGGGGGGATGGTAATGATAAGTGTTTCGGTCCAAAGAGATGGCCATTCCCCATTCTGCCAAATTTTGTTACAGATTTCAGTGAGGATGTTGATGGCGTCCTCCTCCCCCGCATTACGGATCTCAGCTCGGATATTGTCAATTCCCCCAGCTTTCCTATTTTTTTAAAGTTTTGATGACCAATTCCACTTCATCCCAGAGTATGGGGAAGATTGCATCTTCCAAACTGTTACTAGGCTAAGGAATATTTTATTGGATGTACGCGCTAAGATACTGCAAACGATCTGACTACAAAAGATCTTAAAAGGTTTGGGGGGGGGGGGGGGAGTGGGAAAGAGGCTTAGAAAAGGAACAAAGAGTGCTTATCGTGGGAGGATGAAAGTAGCACAAATGCAACAATACCGGCTGGTAATGTTCAAACATGCTGTATTACTGGGAAGATTTTCAGGCTTCAACTACAAAGTTTTATCCCAACAAAACTGAAATTTAAAAAAAAAATGTTGTGTCTTGGTTCAAACAAGTAAGTGAATCACTTTACAAAAATTATGAGACAGACAGACAGACAGACAGACAGACAGACAGACAGACAGACAGACAGACAGACAGACAGACAGACAGACAGACAGACAGACAGACAGACAGACAGACAGACAGACAGACAGACAGACAGACAGACAGACAGACAGACAGACAGACAGACAGACAGACAGACAGACAGACAGACAGACAGACAGACAGACAGACAGACAGACAGACAGACAGACAGACAGACAGACAGACAGACAGACAGACAGACAGACAGACAGACAGACAGACAGACAGACAGACAGACAGACAGAGGGGAGAAAACAAAAAGAATTCTGGCAAAAGCTTGATGTTTCAAAATGCATTGGAAAAACCCACTCACTTTTAACTGCAGAACATATGCTGGACACATCCCCATACATGAATGGCACAGCACATATGACACTGTGCGTCTACTTCGATGGCTTCATTAAGAACCAATGGCCAGTTCCGTGTACAGGACTGTTTGTTTGTCTCTCTGAAATGAGGATGAGAGTTAGAACATACTGATGCTACTTCCTAGAACAGTGCTTTCTAAGCTCTGTACCGGCTGCAGTGGGAAGATGTGTCGCGCAAAAGTAAAGCCTAATACTGAATATTCTGCCTGCATCCTTAAACGTTAAGCTGAGGTCGTAATAACGGTGTCATGAAATTATGTTTCATAGTACTCGGTACACTCCCATAAGTGCGCTGTCCGTGTCTTCAGCAGCAAGTGCAAAGTTTCCATTCCTATGGTACCATTAACAGTCTAATTGTTTGTCCGTCTCGCCCCTGCCCTGAGTGCTGAATGTCGGCTATATCTCCTGCTCACTTCTGGCTGCACCATTCTCTTCAGACCGCGATGTGCCTTCGCACAGAGCCCTTGTAATATTTAGACTTGGATGCATCATGTTACCAATAAGTTGTGTCGAATCAGCCAATCGGTCTTTCTATTTTTTTTCCCAAGACACCGACATTCTATGGAGAAAAGTCTTTTTAAAAAAAGTGTGTCTGCAAAAGGAAAAGTTTGGAAAGCTCTGTCCTTTCGGTTGCTCTTTCATTCGAAAGTGAAACAGGATCTTCGAAGCCGTCATTTCCAAGTGGATGCGGTTTCCGGTAAGGCTAACACATACCGATGTGAGTGCGTGCATTTATATATGTAGATATGGGTCGGGGGGAAAAAAGGGGGGGGGGGGGGGGGCTTATTACGTCTCGTCGAGTGAGTACCTGCAGTATATTCTTTCTGAGCTGCTACTTGAAAAGTTTGACACCCTGAGATCAATATCTAGTAGTTTGGATGGCAGGCCAAAAGGATCTGAAAGTTTGACCCCGTGAGACTAAAGAATCATAATGTTCATGGCAGACCAAAAGGGCGAGCGCATATACCTCGTTCAGTCTTCGAGAAAGTTATTTTTAGGGCACCTGAAACGGCCACATCAACCTGGTGCACGTCCGACTTTAGCTAGTAAAATAGACTGCCTGTCATGTTTGATCGTTGTTGAAATTGTACTTCAGTTATAAAGGATTTGCTTCATTTATGTAATTGTTACTTTAGTATGCACCTGACGAGATATAGCGAATATATGCCAGGAAATAAATTGTGCAATCTATTGTTTGTGTCCTCTTTGTTCAAATATTAAAATAAAGTCGGGCGTGTCTGGTGTAACCTGGAGTTTCGTGCGAGTAGGGATTGATTTATTGCGTCTGGCCATTTTAGATTGTATGTGTCGGTGTGTGTGAGTGGGTGGGTGGGTGTGTGTGTGTGTTTAAATAACTGTGTGTGTCTCTCTAGCTGGTCATTCATCTTATGACACCCGCCTTGCAGCGAGACGCTGTTGTCATTTGGAGGTGACAGGTTCGATTCCCAGCATTATGGTATTTTTAAAGTACCACTACACTGTGGATGTAAACAAATCTGAATAACGAAATACACGACGTTGTCAAAAGATTTGCTCCACAGTCATGAAGCAAAATGCATTGAATGAATGTCGTCTGCTAGAGTAATTCTGTTGCACTGAAAACGAAATTGTGTTATCACTGGAAGAGAGAATATTTTGGTTCAATAAGTTGTACATATTTTCGCAATCGCATAGTATAATGTGGAATTTGGTCTGCTCTTCTGTAGACCTAACTCCATTAGATTATTATCTATGGAGTTGCTTGAAAGGGAATGATTACCAAATAATATAGACACAACTGACGACCTGAAAGAAGCAATCTGCATTACCGTTCATGAAATAGTAACCCTAGGTTTTTAACAACACGAAGAGACATAAAAAATCATGTCTAGAAGCTCGTGGTGGACATTTCCAACAGCTTTGAAAATGATTATTTCATTGGCACTTTCCAGCCTCCCCAAACCAGCGTTATACCATATTACAGGGACCATTGTAAAAGTAAAGATCCCTTTTCACGCCTTAGGTGCATTGGGCAAATGGGAAGAGCTTCCCATATTTTTACACAACAATCGGCACTGGGTGGGTAATGTGGTCAGTATTACGCCGGCCGTCTTTACTTCTCCAGGACAGCCACTCTGGTACCCATTTTAGGCTGGGTCGACCTGCGACGCCCCATACCACGCAGCCAGCAGTGGGTTTCGATCGCGGTACGTAGGAATTACGAGTCGGACTCGCAACGCCTAAGCTACGGATGCTGCACAGGGACCATTGTAACCAATCGAATAAATGTATAGCATTCTTTTTTCTTTTTTTAAATGACTCTATCTATTTCTAATTTAATAAATTTGTAACATTTATTTTTGTGACTATGTATACTTTGTTTTTCAGATTTGTTCTGCATACAAAGTATAGTGTGACTTTACAAACACCCTGTATATAGCTTGGTGATTGTTAGGTTGTCTAATCTGTTCTAGTGATCACGCACATCAGAAATGGATAGTTCACATTCTTTGAGCACTTCAAGAAAAGAGGTAAGCTGGTGTGCACTGTGACAACAGGAAAGTTAATGGGATAGAGAGGAAAGGAAAGACCAACAGAACATGGCAGGGAAGAACGGCTGTAAACAGACATTATTGGCAGTGTCCATGTCATTAGGCTGTAAACAGACATGGTTAGCAGTGTCCATGTCATTGGGCTGTAAACAGACATGGTTAGCAGTGTCCATGTCATTAGGCTGTAAACAGACATGGTTGGCTGTGTCCATGTCATTAGGCTGTAAACAGACATGGTTGGCTGTGTCCATGTCATTAGGCTGTAAACAGACATGGTTGGCTGTGTCCATGTCATTAGGCTGTAAACAGACATGGTTGGCTGTGTCCATGTCATTAGGCTGTAAACAGACATGGTTGGCTGTGTCCATGTCATTAGGCTGTAAACAGACATGGTTGGCTGTGTCCATGTCATTAGGCTGTAAACAGAAATGGTTAGCAGTGTCCATGTCATTAGGCTGTAAACAGACATGGTTAGCAGTGTCCATGTCATTAGGCTGTAAACAGACATGGTTAGCAGTGTCCATGTCATTAGGCTGTAAACAGATATGAATTCCTGTTTAGGTTCCAGGGCCCAATTACTTTTTAAAATAATTAGAGTGTATTTTCTCAGTGTCCCCTGTTTCTCCAGTTTATCCACCATCTCATTTCCTGCTATGCCACAATGTGCTTGGATCTAATGTAGCCAAACCTGGTTGGTTTCTGAGAGTTTTTGTGTGTGTGTTGGCAGGTCATCTTCTCTCCACGTTATCATGTGGTTCTCTTTGTTCAGCCTCCAGGACTAACATGCAGCTGCACAAGATCACAAAGATTGAGTCTTCGATATGTTTTTCTCAAGGATCCTCTGTCCCCCATCCCCTTTCTCTTTCTCCAAAGCATATCATAAAAGATGACTAATGAGGAGTTTGCTGAAACTGAATGTGTTAGGTACTAGAACAGAAAAATAAACTAGCTGTGAAATTTGCTGTCTCTGCAAGGGCACTAACAACACAAGAAGAGACAGGGTTATGAATACCAGCATTAGACAGAAAGTCGGAATAAGACCATGTCTGGATTATATTGAAAGACAAAGAATACAATGGTTCAGCCATCTATCGAGAATGCTACAGCCATACAAAACTGCATATGAGACCTTTTGCAGCAGAACATATGGGAGGAAGGCAAGAGGAAGACCAAAAAATAAGCGGATGGATGATGTAGCTGAAACCTGCAAAAAGATGAACAAATTCATCACCTAAGCCACCTGAGAAGTGCTAGACAATATAGGTAACCATGACAATGAGTTTACAACCTGGTTTCAGTGAGACAACAAAAGGAAAAAAGAAGAAGAGCTGAAACTGAAATGTGTTGGGTTGAAAGGAGTAGATATTGTAAAAGTAAAGATCCCTTTTCACGCCTTAGGTGCATTGGGCAAATGGGAAGAGCTTCCCATATTTTTACACAACAATCGGCACTGGGTGGGTAATGTGGTCAGTATTACGCCGGCCGTCTTTACTTCTCCAGGACAGCCACTCTGGTACCCATTTTAGGCTGGGTCGACCTGCGACGCCCCATACCACGCAGCCAGCAGTGGGTTTCGATCACGGTACATAGGAATTAGGAGTCGGACTCGCAACGCCTAAGCTACGGACGTCGCACAGGGACCATTGTAACCAATCGAATTAATGTATAGCATTATTTTTTCTTTTTTTTTAAATGACTCTATCTATTTCTAATTTAATAAATTTGTAACATTTATTTTTTTGACTACGTATACTTTGTTTTTCAGATTTGTTCTGCATACAAAGTATAGTGTGACTTTACAAACACCCTGTATATAGCTTGGTGATTGTTATGTTGTCTAGTCTGTTCTAGTGATCACCCACATCAGAAATGGATAGTTCACATTCTTTGAGCACTTCAAGAAAAGAGGTAAGCTGGTGTGCACTGTGACAACAGGAAAGTTAATGGGATAGAGAGGAAAGTAAAGACCAACAGAGCATGGATTGGAAGAACGGCTGTAAACAGACATGGTTGGCAGTGTCCATGTCATTAGGCTGTAAACAGACATGGTTGGCAGTGTCCATGTCATTAGGCTGTAAACAGACATGGTTGACAGTGTCCATGTCATTAGGCTGTAAACAGACATGGTTGGCAGTGTCAATGTCAATAGGCTGTAAACAGAAATGGTTGGCAGTGTCCATGTCATCAGGCTGTAAACAGACATGGTTGGCAGTGTCCATGTCAATAGGCTGTAAACAGAAATGGTTGGCAGTGTCCATGTCATCAGGCTGTAAACAGAAATGGTTGGCAGTGTCCATGTCATCAGGCAGTAAACAGACATGGTTGGCGGTGTCCATGTCATTGGGCTGTAAACAGCATTGGTTGGCAGTGTCCATGTCATTAGTCTGTAAACAGACATGGTTGGCTGTGTCCATGTCATTAGGCTGTAAACAGAAATGGTTAGCAGTGTC